TGCAAACTTCCCCAAATAAATAAATAAAACCCAAAGCGATAACATTTCTACGGTGTTTCAATACGGCCACAATTCTGGCGGGGATTTTGAAACTTAATTAGAGAGGTCCAATGAATCGATAAAGTGGATGCAATGAGATTTGAAGGGGGGGGGGAAACCTTTTGCTTTCTGGAATTTTAATTTGATTCTGTTTTTCATTGATCCCCCCTCTGTCTTTCATTCTCTAACAGCGGAATCAAATCTGCAGAAAGCACCAACGCTTTGGAATGTTGATTTTGATCAAGAAGGGGAACAGATGACCCCCCCCCCCCAAAATGGGGCAGGAAAAGAATGCCAAACCATTTCTTGGGACACAGGAGATGAACAGGTGGAAAGTATCAAGGCTTTTTGTCATCTCCCAGAGAAGGTGGGTGCTACAGGCAAAAATTAAAAAGTTTTTTTTTTCTGGGATTGTTTTGTTCTGGATGTTATGTCCAAATTAAATTTTTTTCCAGTTTAGCCAGCATAAAGCACGGTGCAATAGTCTTGCATCATTCAGTCTGCTTCACCCCAGCTTGCAATAAGTTATTAATATAATAACAGAATAACAGGGCTGGAAGGGACCTTGGAGGTCATCTAGTCCAACCCCCTGCTTAAGCCAGGAGACCCTATACCATTTCAGACACGTGGCTGTCCAAATCTCTTCTTGGAAACCTCCATTGATGGAGCACCCACAACTTCTGGAAGCAAAAGCTGTTCCACTGGTTAATTGTCTTCACTGTCAAGAAATTTCTCCTTAGTTCTAGGTTGCTTCTTCATTTAATTCTTGTTCTGCCTCTTCACCTCTTCCTCTCTATACCATTTCAGACAAATGTTTGTCCAGTCTCTTCTTAAAAACTTCCAGTGTTGGAGCATTCACCGCTTCTGGAGGCAGGTTGTTCCACTGATTCACTGACAGGAAATTTCTCCTTAGTTCTAGGTTGCTTCTCTCCTTGGTCGGTTTCCATCCGTTGCTTCTTCTTGTCCTGCCTTCAGGGGCTTTGGAGAATAGCTTGACTCCCTCTTCTTTGGGGCAACCCCTGAGATACATTAGAACACTGCTATCATTTTGCCTCTCCTTCTTTTCACTAGACTAGACATTCCCAATTTCTTAAACTAGACATACCCAATTCAAATATTCAGTCTTGCCCTAAACATTTGCACAAATTTTATCTTGCGGGATCGAGGACCAAAGTAGAACCCCTTTCAGGCACAGAGATGGGTTGGGAGTGACTCTGAATTTTTTCATCGTGGATTTGCTGAAGACCAATCTATTTTTAACCTGGCTTTGATGCTGCTTAAACCAGAAGGGAATGAAGGAAAACAACTATTCAGATTTCCTGGAGGATACCCCGGGTTTGTTTTCCTTGTAACCCAAATCCCACGGATTCAGACCCTCAAAATAGGTCAGGAGCTTATTTATGAAATGGCTAATGGGCAGATTTCCATCCTGCATTTTGAGCTGTCTGCAGTGGCTGTCAAGGTCTTGTCTAACAAACAGCACGAAGTGAGAGCTTTGCAAATTCCAGATAATTGGACGGTTTCACTCCCAAGAACAGATAAATGCATCTGCAAGAGGAGTGACTTTCTGAACAATCTTCCAAACCAAAAAACACCACTTGGCACTGCTTGGCAAATTTATAAATTTGTCCCTTGCATTTCCAAGCTTCTGTTTTTCTTCCCTCCTACTTCTTCCTTGCTTCGGGGTGGGTGAAAGTAAGACCCACATCAAATGTGGTCTGGCTATAAGACCCACAGGCGATTCCCTGAAACGAAGTTCAAGGGATCAGTCCAATGCACTTTTCGGGACTAATTCAAATTCCTCCATTGATTACTTCCATCTGGGCCTGATTAAAGGTGTCGTTGTGTGTTCGTGAAATCACAACTGAGCTACCCAAAAACCTTTTCCTCCTTTTATTAAGCTTACATATGGGTTTAAACACCTTTGACAATCCTTAAATTATTTCTGTTAGTCGGACAGGAAGCAACAGGAGGGAGATATACATTATAGAGATATAAAAATAAAAAGGAACTGCACAAATACCTTATTCCCCGTGTTGATCAAAGTGGGCAACTTTGAAGAGGTATGGACTTCAACTCCCAGAATTCTTTGCTGGCAGGGGACTTCTGGGAGTTGAAGTCCACACCTCTCCAGAGTTGCCCAATTTGAAAAACACCGCCTTATTGTAATATACAAAACAGCAAAAGATACTTTCACAAGCATTCAGGAAGAGCAGAGCTACGAAGACATAATTACAGACCTAAAATCCCAAGTCCTTTTTTCTCTATCATCTCTCTATCATCAACGTCTGACCGCTGAATCCGCTTCCTGCCCCATGTTCGTACGTTTACATTTTAACTTCAACTTTCTAACGCTACAACGATGTTTGAGGAGCCTAAATGTCTATTCAGAGCAACCCATCGTTCAGAAATTATACACCTTTACTACGACAAGATTGAAGGTCCAATCAGAAGGATTGGAATCCAGCATTGCAAACCCAAGAATTTCTGCAGATGTTGGCTTGGGGTTAGAAGAGACACAACACGTTGCGACGATTTGAGTTAGTATCAGAAGACGCAAAGAATCAGTTGCGATTCATCTGTACGTCCGAAAGACAGAAGTGTGGTCCTAACCTAGATTGGGATTTAATCGACAATTTGGTGTTGCATCAGACACGACCCAATTGAAAACCAAGTAACCAGCTATTAACCTTTCCTCTAGAAGAGCTTAGCTTAAAATATCCATAAAACATCTTAAATTTGATGCATCCAAGTTGTGTCAAAGCTGTGACTTTTATACATGGGCACCAGGAAAGACACTGTACCTGCATGACCAATGTGACTGTTATTTGTTACCCTGGTGGCTCTGAATGGCATTTTCAACCTTCCTCATGAAGGTCACCCCCAAACTAAATGACAGAATTGTGCCACCTTAGAGATTAAACAGTGCCCCAAAAGAATTTAAACCAAGTCATGGGTCTTAGCATCCAAAATTTGCATTAGGAATAGAACAGAGCTGGAAGGGACCTTGGAGGTCTTCTAGTCCAGCCCCCTGCTCAAGCAGGAGAACCTTTACCATCTCAGACAAGTGACTGTCCCGTCTCTTCTTAAAAATCTCCAGTGATGGAGCACCCACAATTTCTGGTGGCAAGCTGTTCCAGTGGTTTATTGTCCTCACTGTCAGGAAGTTTCTCCTTAGTTCCAGGTTGCTTCTCTCTTTGATCAGTTTCCAACCGTTGTTTCTCATCCTTCCATCTGATGTTTTGGAGAATAATGTGACCCCCTCTGCCTTGTGGCAGCCCCTCAGATACTGGAACACTGCTATCATGTCCCCCCTAGTCCTTCTTTTCTCTAGATTAGCCAAACTCAAATCTTGCAACCGTTCTTCATGTTTTAGTCTCCAGGCCTTGGATCCTCTTAGCTGCTCTTCTCTGAGCTTTTCCCAAGGTCTCAACCTCTTTTTTGTAGTGTGGTGACCAAAATTATGTTCAGGGTGTTGGAAAACATGCTGATCCAAATGGGAGGTTTCTTGGGATAGGGATTGCAGCTTTTTTGGGGGGGAGTGGAAATAAAATCATCCTTCAGCTGCGGTGGCTTGCTTTTTGAAAACCATACTGACATGCGTTGAACATGGCTATCTTCTCCAAGGAGCTGAAGTTGGGTTCAACAATCAAACTGAGCAAAGAAAAGCCCGTTCATTCCAGCAAGAATCCACAGGCATGATCCCTTGAATTTTCCCAACCAGAATCCTTGCCTTCTGCAAGCAGACCGCAACCAATTTAACCTCTGAATTAGACAGGCAACGCTTTCTCTCATGACCCAGCATTAAACCTAGCCTAGCTTCTTTTGTTGTTGTTGTTAGTTGCGAAGTCGTGTCCAACTCATCGCAACCCCATGGACAAGGTTCCTCCAGGTCTTCCTGTCCTCTACCATCTTCTGGAGTCCATCTAAGCTCATGCCTCCTGCTTCAGTGACTCCATCCAGCCACCTCCTTCTCTGTCGTCCCCTTCTTCTCTTGCCCTCCATCTTTCCCAGCATCAGGCTCTTCTCCAGTGAGTCCTTCCTTCTCATTAGGTGGCCAAAGTACCTGAGTTTCAACTTCAGGATCTGGCCTTCTAAAGAGCAATTGGGGTTGATCTCCTCCAGGACTGACCGGTTTGATCATCTTGCAGTCCAGGGGACTCGCAGGAGTCTTCTCCAGCACCATGGTTCAAAGGTCTCCATTCTTTGGTGCTCAGCCTTTTTTATGGTGCAACTTTCGCAGCCATACATTCCAACTGGGAAAACCACGGCCTGGACTATACGCACTTTTGTTGGCAGGGTGATGTCTATGCTTTTGAGTATGCTGCCTAGATTAGCCATAGCTTCTACAGCTACAAAAAGCCACTTCAGCTGAATGCACCCCCAAATCCACCCCCTTGAAATCCTAAATCAGTGGTTCTCAACCTGTGGGTCGGGACCCCATTTGGGGTCGAACGACCATTTCACGGGGGTCGCCAAACAACGCAGTCTGCCATTTTTTCCCCATTTCCTTAGCTGTGCTACTCCCTTTTATTCTATTGGCTTTTGAAAGCCAATAGAATAGACTCTCTTGACTAGAGTCTAATTCTATTGGCTTTCAAAAGCCAATAGGAATTCTCCAGGCTGTCTCTGTCCTGCTGAGCCCGCCAAAAGTCCCATTCTGCAAACGGTGCTGCACCAGTTGAGTCGTCCTCAACTTACGACCGGTTGAGTAGTCCTCGACTTACGGCCGGTTGGGGAGTCGCGGCATTAAAAAGGTTGAGAACCACTGTCCTAAATGGTGAAATTTGAGGTACGTCCAACCGGGTCACCTTGGCCCGAGAGAAAAACCTCAGCTCAAAACCAGCCTTAAGCGATGCGACCGGGTGCAGGAACCAGCTTCGGGGTGTGTGTGTGTGGTGGGGGAAGCCGTCCCTTGCGTGCTGGCTTACAAAGTGGTTTGCAACTTTTCCTGATGGATATTTTGCAGGGAGGGAGGGGGGGCTAATCTAAACCACCTGGAGGAGGGTGTCGGACTGGAGCATGCTCGCTTCTTGTGAGAAACGGAAGGGAAGGAATGCAAGGGCGTCCCCGAGAATTTCAAAGCCCTGGGAGATGTTCCACGCCTGGGTTTCCCAGCCTGTTGTCTGCTTGTTTTTCAAAAAGCAACCCGCCGCAGCTGAAGGATGGTTTTATTTTCCATCCCCCCCCCCCAAAAAAAACCCAGCTGCAATCTGATCTTAGGAAAACTCCTGTTCGGATCGGCGTGTTTTCCAACATTCTTAAAAGAATGCAAATTTTGAATGCAAAGACCCGTCTGTGGCTTGGTTTAAATTCCTTTGGGGTCCAGCTTAAGTCCCTATGGAGACATAATTCTGTCATTTAGTTTGTGGGTGATCTTCAAGAGGACCTTCGTGGGCTCCAAGATGGTTAAAAAGGCAAGTTGCTAAAGGGTCCTCGCACTTACGACCGTCATGGTTGCAGAGTCCCAGGTCAGGCGATCGATGTTTGGGAATCTTTCCAGCTGGCTTCTGACGAGCAAAGTCAATGGGGGAGGTTGGGTTTGCTTAACGACCAACATAACTGCAGGCATCGTTTAACAATCGTGGCAAAAAAGGTCATCAATCAAGCAAAAGACTCACTTAACGTTGCTTAGCAACGGAGATTCTGCTCCCGATTGTGGCCGTAAATGGAGGACTATCCGTAATGATTTCCTCCACCATTTGTGTGAAACTGAGGCCTCCCTACGCAACGATCTACCATCCACAAACAACACACCTTTCTAATTTCTCCTCTGTTTCCATCTCTGCAGTCTCCAATGCCCCCCAAAATAAGAATTTGAAACTGCATTTGCCATCGTTCAGCAAGGCAATAATATTTTAAGATCACTCATGCTAACAGTTTCTCCAACATTCTGACTTTCAGATCACCCTCCCCAAAAGATTTGTCTGGATTTAATCTCCTTTTCTACAGCTTTTTTGTTTTGTTTGAAAGCCGCTCGGTAAAGATCAGATAAGCGTCTGTCTCTCGTTTTGCTGCTTCTAACTGGTGGTCCGGATTTTTGCCACCCCAATACGCTCAAAATCCCAATCTTTAAAAGCAGGAAATATAATAGCAAGGAGGTGGTTGCAGAGCATATGCAAATGGGTTCCCCCCCACACACAATTCTTTGGTTACCTAATGGCTGGCAATGTTAAGTCATTTCTCCTTCTGGTTTTCATGCGTTCACTTTCCCAGACATTTTAGAGACGCAAACTCTTGAAATTATGAATTTGAAACACCGTTATCACAGAATGCTTTGGGGGGGAAAAAACAGACATTTGGTCCAAGGCAACTGTTGTTGTCCCCTCCCCAAAAAAGCTAAGCTTAACCACGCATAATTCTTGCGTAAAATCCCTCCACATTGTGGTGAACACACCAAGGTGTTAATCCAGCCTCTGAACCCATCAGGCTGATCTTGAGGCTTTGTAATAATATTCTCCAGATGAAATTAACACTTAGATTGCTCGAATGGGCCGTGAGATTCTTGGATAAATACTCTTTGCCAAAGAAACAAACATCGTAAAAGCCACAGGGAAATCTTCAAAACGTTTCCTACTTTGGGGGCAAGTTTTAAATAGCAAACGACTAAAGAGCGGCGTCTGGATTAAAACAGCATTTTAAGTGCTACATAAATAGGCTGGATCCCGACAGAAGTCGAATCCATTCCCCCCCTTTTAAAGCTCTCTCCCCAAACCGGTCCTTGGAAGCAGGGCGAAAGACTTCCAAGATGGTGGGTGGCCCACAATCACGTCGGCTGACGTCTCTGAGATGCCTTCAGCCAGGGGATGATGACGTCCGTCAACGTGTCTCCAAGCGGTGGACCCATGCTGTAGGTGGACGGTTGTAGCCTAGCCCGACCGCCAGAAAGCCTAGGACAAGTTTTCCGGGTGCATCAGATAGGTTTCGTTGTCCTCGCACAAGGCGAGTTGGACGCTGGAGGCGAACCACCGCTTGGCACAGCCCAGCCGGTAGTTGAGGGTGGTCCGGTAAAGGTTTTTGGCCCGTTTGGGAAAAATGATGGTCGTGCTCTGAAACCGGAGGGGCTTCTGACGAGGCTCGAAGAGAAGCTGAGATTTGTAGTTGCGCCAGGTGCAGTTGGGGGCCAGCGTGACGGACTCTCGGTAGGTGGTGATGGTGGGCCTGGGGTGGTAGAAGATGTCGTCGCGGTAATGTTTCTCTGAGCTGTACTTGATCTCCGAATTGCACCTGGGAAACGGGAAAGAGAAGGGAAAGAGAGGGCAAAACTTGGTGAGACCAAGCCAGCATCCATCACAGCTAACCATCAACTGCTAGAACAGCCCTAGTGATGGCTATGGAGATTCTCAATCACTCAGGTCCTGCTTGTCCCAAAGATTGTCCCCAAAGGCAACTGGAATTCCTTGGGGGGGTTTTTTTTCCTTGAAAAGTTTTCGCTTCTCATTCAAGAAGCTTCTTCAGTTCTAGTGGAAGATTCCTGAATTCCCCACCGTTCACTCGAACTGAAGAAGCCTCTTGGATGAGAAGCGAAATGTACTCAAGAAAGTCCAGCTGCCTTTTGGAAAAACATCTTTGAGACCTCGGGTGATAGCAATAAATGCTTTTCATTAGCAACCCCCAAATTTCCCTCCTTGCTCAACTTTCTGAGAGTTGCTTCAGTTGTCTGTCTGCCCTCAAGGTAGGCCACGCCACTAAACTTCTCTGGCTTGGAACAGCTAACCCTGTTTTTCTGAAGGACTGTGATTTCTGCTTGGTCTTCCATCCAGTTTCTCATCGTCGGCCCCAGGAATGTCCTGGAAGATTGTCCAGGCCGGTGTTTCTCAATCTTGGCCTTCAAATATTCTGGGAGTTGAAGACGGTGGACTTTTAACTCCCAAAATTTCCTGGGAGTTGACGTCCATCCATCTTAAAGTTTGCCAAGATTGGAGAATATTGGACTAACCCAGTGGTGGCGAACCTATGGCACGGGTGCCAGAGATGGCACTCAGAGCCCTCTCTGTGGACACGCGTGCCGTCGCCCCAGTCCTAGGCCTTCAGCTGGGTTTTATAAAACCTTTTCGCTTTAGGCCTCCGCCGCCGTGTGCAAAAAAGAAAAAAAGGTTCAATCAATCAGTCAATTTCAACTTCTCGCGGGAAAAAAAAGATCTTGCAAAGTTGGAATTGATTGATTGAACTTTTGAGTCCCACCCAGTCTGCCGTTACCACCGCAGCCACGCCCCCCCAATGGGCCACCTCCCCCAATGGGCCACATCCACCCTGCACCCGACGATGCATAAGTGGGCTTTGGGTTGCAGTTTGGGCACTCGGTCTCTAAAAGCTTCGCCATCACTGGACTAACCAGTGCTTTTTTTCTAAAAAAAAAAAAAAAAGGTGCCAGGACACACACACGTCATACAACCCGCCTTACCTACCCTACAAGGTTCCATCCCAAAAAAGGTGCCGGAACTCCGTTCTGGGCGTTCTACGAGGAAAAAAGCCCTGGGACTAACCCATGTCTAAACCCTAACCAGAAGACATTTGGGGGCACTTGAAGATGGGTGAAGTCCTCAAGATTGAGAAACATTTTTTTTTTTAAAAGAACTGGTTTGCTCTCCTCTGCCAGATATCTTCATGGCTGAGCGCAGAAATCCTTCTGTCAGCCATCTTTCATTTAGACAGCAATAGCCCTTAGACCAGTGGTTCTCAACCTTTTTAATGCCGCGACCCCCCCCAACCGGTCGTAAGTTGAGGACTACTCAACCGGTCGTAAGTCGAGGACTACTCCACTGGTGCAGCACCGTTTGCAGAAGGGGACTTTTGGCGGGCTCAGCAGGGCAGAGACAGCCTGGACAATTCCTATTGGCTTTTGAAAGCCAATAGAATTAGACTCTATTCAAGAGAGTCTATTCTATTGGCTTTCGAAAGCCAATAGAATAAAAGGGAGTAGCCCAGCTAAGGAAAAGGGGGGAAAAAATGGCGGACTGCGTTGTTTGGCGACCCCCGTGAAATGGTCGTTCGACCCCAAATGGGGTCCCGACCCACAGGTGGAGAACCACCGACTTAGACTTATATACTGCTTTATAGCCCTCTCTAAGCAGTTTATAGAATCAGCCTGTTGCCCCCAACAATCTGGGTCCTCGTTTTACCGACCTCGGAAGGATGGAAGGCTGAGTCCACCTCGAGCCGGTGATCCTCACCTACACCAAGGGGTTGGGCTTGATGACCTCCAGGGCCCCTCCCGATTCTAGAATGCCAGGATTAGCCATTTGGCCAGTTTGACTCTCATGACAGCCTTTGAAAGGAGCGAACTTTTCTGCTCTAAGAAAAACAGCTCTGCCTTTAGAAAACTGGCTGTCAGGCAAATTGCTGCTTCAGTGTCTCTCCGGGGAGGGGGAGAAAAAACAAAAAATTAGCAGTAGCTGAAGCAACTTCAGCTCTGGTAGAAAAAGATTAAAACGCCCTTGACCAGGCTTGCCAACACCCTCGACCAAGCTTGGCCTGGAGCAGAGTAGGCGAAACATAATCTATTTAATGAGTTTTGCAGTTCAGTTTGACGCCCTGCAGAGAATTTGGTGGTGGTGGGGGGGGGAAACCAGGCTGGGTGGAGGAGGCAACTGCGGTGGGGTGGGGAAAACCTGGTGCCCACAGTTGGCAGCCTTTTCTCTTTAAAATAAGTTCCCAGCGAGTTAGCAGCAACACCGCCCTGCAAAAGGTGGGTGAGATATCTTCCGCCCATCCCTACTTTTGGCGTTCTCCCCTTCTGGTGTGTGGGAGATAATTGGATTTAAGTGGGGAGGCTTCAAGATCCCAACCTTGTTTATCTGCCTTCCCACTTCCACCGGGGGCAGAATCCAAGGCCCAATTTTCTGCTTCAGAATTGAGATAAATGCAAGGCTAAGATCTAAGTCCTCTCCAATCTGATCTCCCCTGCATGGCTCTTTGAAGTCCAGGCCTTGCTAGCAACGGAAGGGAAGAACTGGAACTCAAGGCTGGACTCTGGGGTCCTTGGTGCTCTCTGAGCTTGGATGTTTTCTTGCAGACGTTTCATGACCCTAACTAGGTAACATCATCAGAGCTAGAAGGACATGGGGTTTGTGGAAGAGGAGGAGGAAGAAGAGGAGGAGGAGGAGGAGGAGCACTGTGGGGTCCTTGGTGCTCTCTGAGCTTGGATGTTTTCTTGCAGACGTTTCATGACCCTACTAGGCAACAACATCTGTGCTAAAAGGGAGTGGGATTTGTGGAGAGGAGGAGGAGGAGGAGGACGACAACGACTGTGGGGTTTTTAATGCTCTCTGAGCTTGGTTGTTTTCTTGCAGACATTTCATGACCCAACTAGGCAACATCATCTGTGCTAGGGGGGAGAGGAGTCTGTTCTCTGTTTATATACAAGCTTCTTGCCCTGCCACTACTGATGGGAGTGTTGTTGTCTTCTTGATAGTTCCTTGACTGGGTTCTTGTTTATTGCTTGTATATAAACAGAGAGCAAACCCCACCCCTTCTAGCACTGACGATGTTACCTAGTTGGGTCATGAAACGTCTGCAAGAAAACCCCAAGCTCAGAGAGCACCAAGCACCCCATAGTCCGTCCTTCCTTCCTTCCTTCCTTCCTTCCTTCCTTCCTTCCTTCCTTCCTTCTTTCCTCCCTCCCTCCCTCCCTCCCTCCCTCCCTCCCTCCCTCCATAAATTCCACTTCCTTCTAGCACTGATGATGTTACCTAGCTGGGAAATGAAATGTCTGCAAGAAAACCAGCAAGCTCAGAGAGCACCCAGGACCCCACAGTCCTTCCTTCCTTCCTTCCTTCCTTCCTTCCTTCCTTCCTTCCTTCCTTCCTTCCTTCCTTCCTCCCTCCCTCCCTCCCTCCCTCCCTCCCTAAATTCAATTTCTTCTAGCACTGACGATGTTACTAGTTGGGTCATGGAACATCTGCAAGATAACCACAAGCTCAGAGAGCACCAAGGACCCCACAGTCCTTCCTTCCTTCCTTCCTTCCTTCCTTCCTTCCTTCCTTCCTTCCTTCCTTCCTTCCTTCCTTCCTTCCTCCCTCCCTCCCTTCCTTCTTCCCTTCCTCCCTCCCTAAATTCAATCCCTTCCAGTACTGATGATGTTACCCATCTGGGAAGCTGTCTTTTACCTGATTTCCTGTGCTGGCTCAGGGTTGACCTCTATGCTTTCTCCGAAAAACACTGGGTACATTCGGGGCCTGATTTCAGAAGCATAGGAGTTCAGAAAAACGTAAGGAATCTGTAGGGAGAAAGGCAGGAAATAAACCAGGAATAAAAGAAGAGCAGGAACAAGTCTTGACTTAATTCAAACAAACGTTTTGGTCCTTATAGGTCACTCTGAATGTCATCTGTGCTGCAGAAGCCTCTGGGCATCCTAAGGCAGAGGTGGACGGAGCCACAAAATTTTACTACCTGTAGTTGGGTACAGGTAGTCCTCAGGTTATGACTAGTCCCTTCATGACCTTTTGAACTTGCGGCAGATTAGGGCTAGTCCGGCGTTTTCTAAAGTGGTCAACTTGGAGATGGGTGGACCTCAACTCCCAGAATTCCTCGTGGCCAGGGAATGCTGGGAGTTGGAAGTCCACACAACTTAAAATTGCCAAAGTTAAGAAATACTGTTCTAAAACATCTGGAAGGTCTTCCCTTTAATCAATCAGTTGTACATAAAGGCTGCAATGTTCCCAGCTGCAGGGGGCAATCGGCATGAAAAGAAAAACCCCAACGTTGATATTTTGGCATGAGATTTATGAAATAGCAGCTGGAAACGTTCTGGATAGCGGCCTTTATCGGTATCCAGAGGTGCATAAGGCTGTTTACATATTCCAGGGAGCGTTCAAATGTGACAGAGAACAATGCATAGTTTGGATGTGTGCAGAGTGTATTGATTCAGTGCGCCAGTCAGGAGCCGCTATCATCCTAAATCATCCCGGTGCAAACAGAAAGAAAGGACATTAAGAGCAGCAGGTGGTTTTTTGTTTTTTTTTTTTCCCCCTTGAACTGCCTGGAGAAGAAAAAATCTCCCAAGCACAATCTGGAAGGAAGGAAGGAAGGAAGGAAGGAAGGAAGGAAGGAAGGAAGGAAGGAAGGAAGGAAGGAAGGAAGGAAGGAAGGAAGGAAAAAGAGGGAAGGAGGGAGGAAGGAAGGGAGGACAGGAAAGGAAGGAGGGAGGGAAGGAAGGACAGAAAAGGAGGGAGGGAGGGAGGACAGGAAAGGAGGAGGGAGGGAGGGAAAGAAGGAGGGAGGGAGGAAGGAAGGAAGGGAGGAGGAAGGAGGACAGAAAAAGAGGAAAGGAGGAAGGAAGGAAGGGAGGACAGGAAGGAGGGAGGGAGGGACAGGAAAGGAGGGAGGGAGGGAGGACAGGAAGGAGGGAGGGAGGGAAAGAAGGAGGGAGGGAGGAAGGAAGGAGGACAGGAAAGGAGGGAGGGAGGAAGGAAGGACAAAAAGGAGAGACGGAGGGAGGACAGAAAAGGAGGGATGGAGGGAGGACAGGAAAGGAAGAAAGGAAGGAAGGAGGGAGGAAGGGAAGGGAGGACAGAAAAGGAGGGAGGGGGGAGGAGGAAGGAAGGAAGGACAGGAAAAGAGGGAGGGAGGAAGGACAGAAAAGGAGGGAGAAAGGAAGGAAGGAAGGAGGAAGGAGGGAAGGAAAGAAGGACTTCAGACAACTTAGAGAGAGATCCCTGAACTTTGAGCAAACAAAATGACATTCAATTAAAAAAAAAAAAGATCAGAGAACGCAGCCCTGAATTAGAAGCTGGCAAAAAAAAAATAGAAGGCATCTAAGACGCAAAGTTCTTTAGGGACTAGCACCTTAGTTGGCCCTGTTTGAAAATGCCTTCAGGATTCTGCGCGGAATGAGTCATGAGCTTTTCTCCCTAGCATTTCCTTTAGAAGCAACACTTCTTTTCTCGTCTACCTGCCGATACAGGGAAAGCTGGGAGAATTCAGAGAGGACTTAGCAGATCAAAGAGCAACTTAAATACGAAACCGACGCTTGCGCGGAACTTTTAATTCTGATCTGGGTCTTCTAGTTGCCGATGCAAAAAAAAAAAGAGAGAGAGAGAGAAAGGCATTCCCTTCCAGTTAGAGCAGTGGTTCTCAACCTTTTTAATGCCGTGACCCCCAACCGGTCATAAGTCGAGGACTACTCGACCAGTCGTAAGTCGAGGACTACTCAACTGACGCAGCACCGTTTGCAGAATGGGACTTTTGGTGGGCTCAGCAGGGCAGAGACAGCCTGGACAATTCCTACTGGCTTTTGAAAGCCAATAGAATTAGACTCTGTTCAAGAGAGTCAATTCTATTGGCTTTCAAAAGCCAACAGAATAAAAGGAAGTAGCACAGCTAAGGAAAAGGGGGAAAAAAATGGCGGACTGCGTTGTTTGGCGACCCCCGTGAAATGGTCGTTCGACCCCAAATGGGGTCCCGACCCACAGGTTGAGAACCACTGCCTTAGAGGTCTAAAGTGGGCCGAGAGAGCACGATTTCTGATTCTACCATGGGAATCCAGCTACCCTTGATGGGTTAACCCAGAGATACACTACACACTTCTACAGCGAGCGGCCAGGCACAATTTCAGTAACCACAAACAGACGAAGGCTTGAAATCCTAGCAATGCAACCGACGTGGGTGCCAGAACCAGAGAGACCCCTGGCCAAAAAAATGAAGAAAAAAAAAATAGACACACACAATAAAAACAATCTGAAGCCAAGGAATCTTAGCCCAAGGTGCCAAGGCAGCAGAAATGGGGCACTCCACTGAAGTTGTGGAAGGCAAGCACAGCTTTCAACCACGCGTCTTCGCAAGGCAAAGGTCCCTTGGTGCCACGGTTTCCAGACCACGCCTGGAATCCTGCATCCAGTTTTGGTTCCCCCGTTACAAAAAAAAAAGATGTTGAGATTTTGGGGAAAGTGCAGAGAAGAACAACTAAAGCCTGGAGACTAAAACATATAAGGAACGGTTGCTGGAATCGGGTATGTCCAGTTTAATGAAGACAAGGACTAGGAGTAACATGATGGCAGTCTTCCAATATCTCAAGGGTTGCCACAAAGAAGAAGGGGTCAAGCCATTCTCCAAAGCGCCTGAAGGCATGACAAGAAGCAACGGGTGGAAGCTAATCAAGGAGAGAAGCAACCTGGAACTAAGGAGAAACTTCTTGAAAGTGAGAACAATTAACCAGTGGAACAACCTGCCTCCAGAAGCGGTGAATGCTCCAACACTGGAAGTTTTTAAGAAGAGACTGGACAGCCATTTGTCTGAAATGGTATAGGGTTTCCTGCCTGAGCAGGGGGTTGGACTAGATGACCACCAAGGTCTCTTCCAACTCTGTTATTCTATTCTATTCTATTCTATTCTATTCTATTCTATTCTATTCTATTCTATTCTATTCTATTCTATTCTATTTCTATTTCTATTTCTATTTCTATTTCTATTTCTATTCCATTCTCTATTCCATTCCATTGACAAGAAGAACCAGGGGTGATGTGATAGCAGCCTTCCAATATCTCAGGGGCTGCCCCAAAGAAGAGGGAGTCAAGCTATTCTCCAAAGCGCCTGGAGGCAGGACAAGAAGCAACGGATGGAAACTCATCAAAGAGAAAAGCAACCTGGAACTAAGGAGAAACTTCCTGAAAGTGAGAACAATTAACCAGTGGAACAACCTGCCTCCAGAAGCGGTGAATGCTCCAACACTGGAAGTTTTTAAGAAGAGACTGGACAGCCATTTGTCTGAAATAGCATAAGGTTTCCTGCCTGAGCAGAAGGTTGGACTAGATGACCTCCAAGGTCCCTTCTAAATTATTATTGTTGTTGTAGTTGTTATTGTTATTATTAACCTTTCCTAAGAAGATCTGAGAAGTTTACAAATTCAGGAAGTCCTCAGGGCGAGATGCTCAACCCGGACAGGTAAAAAAAACAACAACAACCCAGCAGATGCTTAAACTTGGTTAATGTGAATCTTGGCTAGCTCTTTTTCGTGTGAGCGGATGGCTTCTGTGTTCCAGAAAGCGAGCCCAGGGGTTTGACTGATGTTGCAGACCTAGAACCCAGGTCCTTTTGAGAAGCAGGAAGTGAACCCTTGGCGCGATTTTGTTTTGTCCTCCGTTGTTTGTTTAGAGAGGGAAAGATTAGCAAGTTTCCGCCAGCCAGCCGAGACTGAGAAGGAACTGCCAAGACCTCACTTTTCCCAAGGAAAGTCTGCCCTAAAGGCAAATTTAAAAGAAAAAACAACAAAAAAATTGTAGGTCCTCTTCATTTTTTTTTTTTTTTAAATCTTACCGCTGCAACAAGGAAAGCTGGCACTCTGGAAAATTCTGATTATTTTTTTCTTCTTCTTCTGTATTTAGAGAAATACATTGAACTGAGCTCCACTGGGCTTTGACGAATTGCAACTGGTTCTTGCACAGACTCGTGCAGAAAAAACAAGGCAACAACATCCACAGACCCACATTTTGCTCTAAATGCCCAGGATGCTTGTCCTCAGTGTGGTCAAGAGCGTACAGATTCATTTGCTCAAGGTAAAAACACGTTAACTAGGCTTCACCTAATTAATTTGGCATGGGAGAGGACTCCACCCAATTAATTATTTTAGGATAGAACATGTTCTGCCTTCCTCAGCATTTTGCAACCTTAATCTGTTTCGGTTAACCTAGACGCTTCCTCATGGTTTCGACTCTCTCTCTCTCTCTTCCATGAGGGCTAGAAACCTGAAACTTTCAACAAACACACTTGCACAGCCAATATAATATGTTGCAGAATCTTGGCCTGTGCCGCACTGTTGTGTGAAATGGGACTCACCTTCCAAATAAGAAAATTGAACAAAACTGGATTAATATAATATAATATATAATATAATATATATAATGCCCCGGATATAAAACATAATTAAACCAAATATTTCAGTACTTAATGGCAAGCCGATGGTCAAGCAATCAGACATCTGGGAAATTTAAAAAAAAAAAATAGAAACATTACTATGTCTGCAACTTGGATGAGAAACGGTGATTGTTCAACCAGCAAAACACTTCTCCAATAGTTTCCAAGCTAATTCATTCCAGAAAAGCAAATGGTATAGACGTCTTGCAATTGTTTTTTATTAAGTTTATCCCATCTTTATTATTTTTATAAATAACTCAAGGCGGCAAATGTATCTGATCCTTCTTCCTCTTGCTCTTTACCCCACAAGAACAATCCTTTGGGTTGGGCTGAGAGAGAGGCGACTGGCCCAAAGTCATCCAACCGGCTATCGTGCGTAAGGCAGGACTAGAACTCACCGTCTCCTGGTGACTGGCCCAAAGTCATCCAACCGGCTTTCCTGCATAAGGCAGGACTAGAACTCACAGCTTCCTGGTGACTGGTCCAAAGTCATCCAACCGGCTTTCCTGCATAAGGCAGGACTAGAACTCACCGTCTCCTGGTGACTGGCTCAAAGTCACCCAACCGGCTTTCGTGCATAAGGCAGGACTAGAACTCACAGCCTCCTGGTGACTGGCCCAAAGTCATCCAACCGGCTTTCGTGCATAAGGCAGGACTAGAACTCACAGCCTCCTGGTGACTGGCCCAAAGTCATCCAACCGGCTTTCCTGCATAAGGCAGGACTAGAATTCACCGTCTCCTGGTGACTGGCCCAAAGTCACCCAACCAGCTTTCGTGCATAAGGCAGGACTAGAACTCACCGTCTCCTGGTGACTGGCCCAAAGTCATCCAATCGGCTTTCCTGCATAAGGCAGGACTAGAACTCACAGCCTCCTTGTGACTGGCCCAAAGTCATCCAACCGGCTTTCGTGCATAAGGCAGGACTAGAACTCACAGTCGTCTAGTTTCAATAATTCAGCATGTAAAGCATGTTCAGCGATTACAGCACATAAAGTCTACCGCTCGGCAAGAAACTACTTGCAAAGATTGCAGAAATCCAAATTAAATCTGGGTTTCTTTGACCGAGGCCGGCAAAGTCATATTGAGAGGGAGGGAGGGAGATAGAGGGAGAGAGAGAGAAAGAGAGAGAGAGAGAGAGAAAGAGAGAGAGAGAGAGAGAGAGAGAGAGAGAGAGAGAGAGAGAGAGAGAGAGAGGGAGGGAGGGAGATAAAAAAATGCCAAACTTACCACTTTCCTTTCCTGGCCATCTTTCCCTGGCCCATGATCCAGTATTTCTGCGCAGGGATTCTTGTCCACGGCTTTGTTCTCAGCTATGCCCGGAGACAAGGAGTAGAAAGGGGGGCTCGGACTGGGGGGCAGCCCCGAATCCGGACTGTCCAGCAAACTTTCCCGGTTCTTTTCCTTGCTATTGTTTTCCATACCTTGGAACTGCAGGTGACCCACCATGACTGGGGGAAGGGAGGGTGGAAAGAAAAAGGGGGTCAGGAAGGCAAAAACCCCGCCAAGCTGTCAAAAACTCACCTCTTCCTGGGAGGGCCAAGAACTGGGAAGCGGGGAGGGGGGGGGCAATTAATTTTCCCAAGAGGCCACATGAGAAACTGGGCCTGTTGTGGGGGGGCCGAATCAACAGGGCTGTGAAAGTGCATTTGCACGCGCGCGCGCCCACGTCAATTGAAAAAGCAAAATAGCTTCAACTAAAAGCAACTTGCCCTTGCATTGCGTGCATGTCGTGCACTTATTTACATTTGATTTCTATTTTTCCAAGGGACCTCACGCGGGCCAGACTGGGACAGGCAGAGAGCCAGCCCCCCCCCCCTCAAATGCCCAGGTCTGGTCAAGAGGAAAAGGCAGGAAAGGGGGATCCTCAAAAGTCCTGTGGTCAAAAGTTGAAAAGATCAGGGTTGCGATACCGCCAGTCCTTTTTAGCTCGGCCTACCTTGCAAGGTGGTTAGGAGGCTCTTCCAACACGCCTTGTTTCTCAGAGGCAAGCCAGCGTAGGGTTAAGGGGCAGCTGGGAGGGGGGGGGAGGTCCAGAAGAGTCCGTTTCCAGCCCCCTCCCCCAATGCTCACAGCTCAAGCTAGGGTGGGGGGAAAAAAAATTAAGAATGATTTTTAACTCAAAGTATCCGAAGAAGAGAAATAGCAAAATGAAAGAGCGGTCATGTTCAGCATGGGTCCCGAGCTGAGATTGGGGCTCCAGCCAACCTCTGGAGCCCCTCTGCGCCCCCCCTCCCCGTGCAGACTCTGCCAGCAGTCTTAAGCTGGAACGCAAAGCCTTCCAAAACCTTGAATTTTAAATCCCACATTCTGCTCGCCACTCCATGCAACCCAACGGGTCAGTTGCAGAAGGCGGGATTTTAAATTCAGGGTGCCCTTTCCCAAATTGTTTTCCTGGGAAAAGGTGCCGATTCAAAGGCTAGGCTCGCTCAAAAAGGAGACACGGGTGGGAGGACCGGGGCTATAGTTATTTCACTCTTTCCACAACCTCCGTCCGAAATAACGTTTTTTTCCCCTCTCCAGGAATCGGCCTAAACCTCTAAAGGCGCTTCTTTCTGCTCCGTTCCAACCCCCTGACCTGCCTTCTTCTCTCTGAGTTGCATCCGCGCGTCATCTCGATTCTGAACTTCCAGGAAAGCTGGCTGGGGCAAAGCCCCCCACGCCATCCCACCCGCCCACCCTCTTGCGCTCCAAGGGACCCCGCCGGAGTTCCCAGACGCGCTGGAGAGCCCTCGCCGCGGCTCCCGGTTCAACGCGTCCCAGGAAGACGAGGCAAGCCGTTCGTGGAGCGTGGGGACGCCTCGGGACCCTTCTGCCCCGACCCCAACCCCAGCCCAGCCCAGCCCAACCCAGGCCTTGGAGAAGGGGGCTTCCCGAACCGCTCCCGGACCACCGATTGCACCGGCGAGAGCGCAGGGCGCACACAGGCTCCAGGGCGCACAGCTTGCACCCTCCGCTCCGGAGCAACCCAGCGCCCGGGCCGGTGGGTGGGTGGGTGTGCAGGGGTCCTCGGCTGCTGCTCCCAGCCTCCTGCCTGTTCCCCTCCCCACCCTCCCCACCCCCGGCTCCGCTGTTGCTCGGAGGGTGCCCGGAGCGCAGGATGGAGAAGGCGCAGGGCAGCGGGCGATGCCCAACGGCGCGCCCGGCTCCTGCCTTCTTCTTCTTCTTCTTCCCTCCCGGGGAGGAAGCAGCGCCCCCCAGGCGGGGGAAACGAAGCCAGGCCAGCCCCGAGCCCTACGTGGGAGCGGCCAGCTCTTCTGCAGCGCGGCGGCGGCGATCGCTCCGTTCCAGCTGCGGCTCCCTTCGGCCCTCGAGGCGAGCCCGGCCCGGACCCCGAGCGGAGCCTCCCAGCTGCTCCTCCTCCGCCGCCTCTTTCCCCTCCCCGAGCCTGACCCGCCTTCTCCTCCTCCTCCTCCTCCTCCTCCTCGCAGGGAGCGGCGGGGGGCCCTCGCTCTCCCCACTGCCCAACCTGGTGGTCGTGGGGACGCGCGCGTACCGGGGACGCCTCTTTTCCAGCCCTCGTTCTCTGCCTCTGGGCGGGGGACGCGTCCCCACGCGCGCTTCTTGGAGAGGGGGTGAGGGTTTCGCTCGGGGGAGGGTGTCTTCAGGGGAGGAGGAGGGGCCACTCGCCTTCCCAAGCCCTCCTTGGGGATCACACGTGATTTAGAAAACGAGTCCTCGACTTAGGTGCCAAGCCAGGTGGTTATTAAGCGAGTCCCCGGATTTTATGACCTGATATATACATTTCTTTTGTCTCCATGGTTAAGAAAAGTGCTGCAGTTGTTCGGTGAATCTTGGATAGGATGTTGGTGGTCCTCAACTTGCGATTTGGGGAGATAAGGAAAAGATAAGGAGAAATGAGAGAGGGGGGGGGCGTTTTGCGAAAACGGATTTGATGGGGGGAAAAAAGAGAGAGAAAAGGAATTGCAGGTCAGATTCAGGAATTGCAACCCCGATAGCAGTGAAGAAAAATGGTTATTAATGGTGATTCGCATATGTTGAATGTATACCATTTTCTTTTTCTGTTTAAATTTTTATTTATTCAAAAGATTGAGAGAAGAGAGACAGATGGTTGATAGATAGATAGATAGATAGATAGATAGATAGATAGATGGATGGATGGATGGATGGATGGATGGATGGATGGATGGATGGATGGATAGATAGATAGATAGATAGATAGATAGATAGATAGATAGATAGATAGATAGATAGATGATAGACAGAGTAGAGTAGAGTAGAGTAGAGTAGAGTAGAGTAGAGTAGAGATGGATGGATGGATGGATAGATGATAGATAGGTAGGTAGATTGATAGATAGATTGATAGATAGTGAAAGATAGATTGATAGATGATAGATATAGATATAGATAGATAGATAGATAGATAGATAGATAGGTAGATAGATAGATAGATGAGACATATAGATAGGTGATAGATAGATAGATAGATAGATAGATAGATAGATAGATGATAAATGGATAGATAGATAGATAGATAGGTAGATAGATAGATAGATAGATAGATAGATAGATAGATAGATAGATAGAGTAGAGTAGAGTAGAGTAGAGATGGATGGATGGATGGATGGATGGATGGATTGATGATAGATAGGTAGGTAGGTAGATTGATAGATAGATTGATAGATAGTGAAAGATAGATTGATAGATGATAGAGATAGATAGATAGATAGATAGATAGATAGATAGATAGATGAATGATATACATAGATGATAGATAGCAATAGAACAGTGGTGGTGAATCTATGGCACGTGTGCCAGAGGCGGCACTCAGAGCCCTCTCTATGGGCACACGCGCCGTTGCCCCAGCCCTGCCTCCCACTGTAGCCCCCTCCTCACCAGCAGCCCCCTGGAGGAGAGTCGCCCCAAAGCGTGGCCCACGCGGGGCAGCGCAGCCAAGGACATGGCAGCCAGGCAGCGGGGACAAGACTCAGTTGATGCGCAGTTGATGCTGCGGGGTGCGGGTGGAAGGTATGTCTGCCATGGCACTGCTGGGCCACCTGAGCGATCGGTGGGCCCTGGAGGCGGTTAGTGGCCCTGCGGGTGGGTGGGGCGGTGAGCGGGGCAGGGGGTGGGGGCAGATCAGGCAGGACAAGGGCGGAGCAGGGACAGGTGGGGGAGCAAGGTGGGGCTAGTTTTGGGCCACTGGGTCTCTAAAAGGTTCGCCATCACTGCAATAGAACTTAGATTTATATGCCGCTTCACAGTGCTTTACAGCCCTCTCTTAGCGGGCTACAGAGTCAACCTGTTGCCCCCAACAATCTGGGTCTTCGTTTTACCGACCTCGGAAGGATGGGAGGCTGAGTCAACCTTGAGCCGGTCAGGATCGAACTGCTGGCAGTGGGCAGAGTCAGCTTTCAATGCTGCATTCTAACCACTGCGCCACCACGGCTCCTATCTGCCTGACTGTCGTCCATCTGTCTGTCTGTCTGTCTGTCTGTCTGTCTGTCTGTCTGTCTATCTATCTATCTATCTATCTATCTATCTATCTATCTATCATCATCATCTCCAGGATCTTTCTTTCTTTCTTTCTTTCTTTCTTTCTTTCTTTCTTTCTTTCTTTCTTTCTTTCTTTCTTTCTTTCTCCCCCCTCTCTCTCCAGTATATCTATCTATCTATCTATCTATCTATCTATCTATCTATCTATCTATCTATCTATCTGTCTATCTATCATCTCCAGGATCTATCTATCTATCTATCTATCTATCTATCTATCTATCTATCTATCTATCTATCTATCTATCTTTCTCTCTCTCTCTCTTTCTTTCTTTCTTTCTCCCCCCTCTCTCCAGTCTATCTATCTATCTATCTATCTATCTATCTATCTATCTATCTATCTATCATCATCATCATCTCCAGGATCTTTCTTTCTTTCTTCCTTTCTTCCTTTCTTTCTTTCTCTCTCTCTCTCTTTCTTTTTTTCTTTCTTTCTTTCTCCCCCCCTCTCTCTCCAGTCTATCTATCTATCTATCTATCTATCTATCTATCTATCTATCTATCTATCTATCTATCTATCTATCTATCTATCTATCTATCTATCAGAAAAGCAATCACAGGGTCAGCCTATTGCCTCTGTATCCTCATTTTACCGACCTCGGAAGGATGGAAGGCTGAGTCAACCTTGATAGAGGATAGATAAACGATAGATGATAAATTTAGACAGACAGACAGACGGACAGAGATTATATGCCATTTTCACGGGCAAAGTTTTGTCGGAAAAGGTGGCCCCTACTTTAGGTTGGGCCAGGGGCCCCTTTTTCTCTGCTCCCCGGGTTTCCTTCCTTTCCGGATTCTTCTGCGGCCTGGGCCGGATGTCTGTTAACCTCCCCCTTCAGGGGGGGGGGGACATTTCACACATTGATAAAAAGGATCCTTCGCCCTTGACATTTATGGCCGAGGGGGCGCATTCCTTTCGCCTCACACAGATCAACTTGGCAGACTCGTGGGGTGCTGGAGACGTTTGGAAGATGGATAAATGTCAAAGACCGAGCTGGGCAGCCCACACGCTGACCTCAGTGAATTATCCTCCCTGACCCCAAGCAGGGCGAGGAAGGGGCCTGCTGACCTGCGGGGAGGCTTCTGCTCATGCCCAGAAGGCACCAGGAATGCCACATGGGCCGGAGGAAAGGTAACTCACCTTTATGGGCTGATGTGCGCAACAAAGGAGGTTAACGTGGTTGGGGTGGCTTATGGGGCTGGCGCTTAAAATGTGGAGATTGTGTGGAACGGAACACGACCACCTGGTTCATTGAACGATTCCTTCCTTCCTTCCCTCCCTCCTTCCTTCCTTCCTTCCTTCCTCTCTCTTTCTTTTTCTACCTTTCCTTCCTTCCTTCCTTTCTCTTTCTCCTTTCCTTTCTTTCTCTCTTTCTTTCCTTCCCTCTTCCTTTCTTTCATTCCTTCCTTCCTTTCTTCTTTCTCTTTCATCTTTCTTTCTTTCTTTCCTTTCTTTCTTCTCCCTCTCAAATGGTGTCTTCCCTGTGCTGCTTACCCCAGCCTGATTCATCAACCCGCATGCAGCCTATGTGTTCTTCCATTCCTTTCTTTCTTTCTTTCTTTCTTTCTTTCTTTCTTTCTTTCTTTCTTTCTTTTATTCCTTTCCTTCCTTCCTTCCTTCCTTTCTTCCATTTCTTTCTTTCTTTCTTTCTTTCTTTCTTTCTTTCTTTCTTTCTTTCTTTCTTTCTTTCTTTCTTTCTTTCTTTCTTTCCTTTCCCTCTCAAATAGCACCTTCCCTGTGCTGTTTACCCTGCCTGATTCATCAACCCACATGTAGCCTGTGTGTTCTTCCATTCCTTTCTTTCTTCCTTCATTCTTTCTTTCTTTCTTTCTTTCTTTCTTTCTTTCTTTTCTCTTTCTTTCTTTCTTTCTTTTCTCTTTCTTTCTTTCATTCATTCTTTCTTCTTTCTTTCTTTCTTTCTTTCTTTCTTTCTTTCTTTCTTTCTTTCTTTCTTTCTTTCTTTCTTTCTTCTCCCTTTCAAATGGCTCCTTCCCTGTGCCATTCACCCCTGCCTGATTCATCAACCCACATGCAGCCTGCGTGTTTCCAACTCCTGTTTTTGTAGCCAGCTTAGTTTTATCCCAGGCAGAGGGAAAACAACACAGCAGGCTGGAAAATCCCGTGCTTTGGCTGCCGA